CCGTTGGGCCAGTTCGGGCAGGACATGATGTTAAAAATGTGCTCCACACTGCAGCCGGGGAGAATGACCCTACCTGGAGTCTTTGGCAGAGGGCACCAGGGGAGACCCGGGGTCAACCCCTGGGATTCTGGAGTTGAGGATATAGAGGATCCGAAGCCCGTTATACTCCAACTGAAAAAGAGATACTGGCAACATACGAAGGGGTTTGAGCTGCTTCAGAAGCAATTGACAGAGAAGCACAGCTCCTCTTGGCACCCCAACTGCCAGTACTGGGCTGGATGTTCAAAGGGAAGGTCCCCTCAACACATCATGCAACTGATGCTACGTGGAGTAAGTGGGTCGTGCTCATCACACAGCGGGCTCGAATAGGAAACGCCAACTGCCCAGGAATACTAGAAGTAATTACAAGTTGTCCAGAAAACGAAGACTTTGGAATGTGACCAGAGGAAGAGGTGACCCGAGCTGAAGAGGCACTGCCATATAATGAACTACCAGATAATGAGAAGTGATATGCCTTATTTACCGATGGGTCCTGTCACATTTTAGGGAAACATCGGAAGTGGAAGGCTGCTGTGTGGAGCCCCACATGTCAGGTCGCAGAAGCTGCTGAAGGAGAGGGTGAATCCAGTCAATTTGCAGAGGTGAAAGCCATCCAGCTGGCCTTAAGTATTGCCGAGTGAGAAAAATAGCCAGTCCTTTATCTCTACACTGATTCATGGATGGTGGCGAATGCCCTGTGGGCGTGGATGCAGCAGTGGAAACAGAGTGGCTGGCAGCGTAGAGGCAAACCCATCTGGGCTGCTGATTTGTGGCAAGATATTGCTGCTCGAATAGAGAACTTGGTTGTGAAAGTACGCCACGGAGATGCTCATATACCCAAAAATTGAGCAATGGAAGAACATCAAAACAACCACCAGGTGGACCAGGCTGCAAAGATTAAGGAGGCCCAAGTAGATCTGGACTGGCAGCATAAGGGTGAAAAATTTATGGCTCACTGGGCCCATGACTCCTCGGGCCATCAAGGAAGAGATGCAACATATAGATGGGCTCGTGACCGAGGGGTGGACTTAACTATGGACATTATATCACAGGTTATCCGTGAATGTGAGACATGTGCTGCAATCAGCCAGGCCAAGTGGTTAAAACATCTTTGGTATGGAGGGAGAAGGTTAAAGTATAGATATGGGGAGGCCTGGCAGATTGATTACATTATGCTCCCACAAACTCAGCATGGTAAAAGTTATGTGTTCACAATGGTAGAAGCAACTACTGGACGGCTGGAAACATATGCTGTGCCCCATGCCACTGCTCGGAACACTATTATGGGCCTTGAAAAACAAGTCCTGTGGCAGCATGGCACCCCAGATAGAATTGAATCAGATAATGGTACTCATTTTTGAAATAATCTTACAAACACCTGGGCAAAAGACTATGGCATTGAGTGGATATATCATATCCCCTATCATGCCCTGGCCTCCAGGAAAATTGAGCGGTATAATGGGCTACTAAAGACCGTGCTGAGAGAAATGGGAGGTGGAACTTTTAAGCATTGGGACACACATTTAGCAAAGGCCACCTGGTTAGTCAATACTAGAGGATCTGCCAACCAGGCTGGCCCTGCGCAGTCAGACATTCTACATACTGTAGATGGAGGTAGAGTCCCAGCAGTGCACCCTAAAAAAAAAAACGTGCTGGGGAAGACCATCTGGGTTATTCCTACTTTGGGTAAAGGTAAGCCCATACGTGGAATTACCTTTGCCCAAGGACCCGGGTGCACTTTGTTATGCAGAAGGACGGGGACATCCAATGTGTGCCTCAAGGGCACTTAATGTTAGGTGAAAATAGCCAATAAGCTGTATTAGATTAATCACCACACCACCCTATCAATGCTTTGTTATGGAAAACATGAACTTGGATGAAGTTAGGACTGGTTTCAGCAACTGATGCCCAGCGACTGCTGCAGACTATGAATACAAACAGCATCAGATGCATCAGCCACCAGCTCCGACTGCAACAGAGACTGCATACCATCCTCCTGTCAGGTCCAAGGACACCTCTGCCCTACTGACTGAGCATTGCTCCTCCTGCCTGAAGGGACTGTTATGACAGATGGAACCTGAAGCTATGGACCAAATGAACCCATGATACATCCTGCAATGATGGACCATGGACTGAGGGAATGACATCTGTATGCGTATGTCTTTGACCAAGGAAGAGGATAGTAAATAACAATAATGTATTAGAAATATGGAACGTGAGCATAATGTAAATGATATGGAATAAGGGGTGGATACTGTCCTGGTTGGGGCTGGACTAGAGTTCCTGTTCATTTTAGTATCTGGAGGAGTGCTGCAGCACCCTGAGACCCCAGGGGCTCCCCAGGTCCCAGTGCCCTCACCTGTGTGCGGGGGCGGGGGGAGCACAGCTGGAGGGCTGGGCCGGGATTGGCCGATAGTCCATGTCACATGACATTGTGCTCACTATATAAAGGCAGGAGTGGGCCGGGAGGGGCTGCCACTTCCTTTGTGTTGGGGATCACCGGCCGGGAGCAGGCGGGTGTTGGTCGGTGGGTGGTGAGCAGCTGTATGGTACATTACCCGCTGATACTGCTGTCAGTGTATTGTTCTGTTACTGTTATTAAACTGTTTTTATCTCAACCCGCGAGTCTCCCTTTGCCCCTCCGATTCCCTCCCCATTCCCAAGTGGGGGGAGGGTGGGTGAGTGACTGTGTGGCGTTTAGCTGCTGAGTAGGCTCAAACGACGACATCTCCTCACTTAAGTAAATTCTATAATCAACATGGCACTGTCCTCTTTGGCACCTGCCTCATGAAAGCCCTTTCTTTTTCAGTGTATTTGTTGTCATTTGGGGACATCTGGCCACTGCAATCATGGCATTTTTTACCTAATCCATTTTGGTGGCAGCAGTAGCCTTAGAAACTTCTGAGAGTCATGAGCTGTCTTGGGCAGATATGGGGGCATTTCTAATTTTAATCAGAGATATTGATCTAGCTATGATTTTTTTTTTCTTTTTATGAATAATTTATTATAGAGACACTGCATCATGAAATTCTGCATGTGGAAATATTTGCTATACTGGACAAATTAACTTAATCCTTATATCTTTCTGTGCTACTACTGTTTTTGCTTATTAAAGTAGCCTTCGTTTTGTATTTTACTCAGACTGTATTAATTGTAAGAATAATGTATCAGAATAAGGAATAAGCAATTAGAAAATACATTAACAGTGTTTATCTCTTGTTCAGTAATGACAGCTGATGCAGAAGAGGATAGAATGGTTAACCTCTTTACTAAGAACAGCTCTTATCCCAGATACATACATAAACTGCCCATTGGCTTTAATAAATGCACTAAAGTATGAAATACTGTTAGAGTTTTAATTTTAAATACAGAATGCATTTTCTTGTATCCATGATACATTTTTAAGCTAATGTAAAATCTGCAAACATTCTTATATCATTCATAATGGGAATAAACATGACCACAAGTACTTTTATTTGGATATATATGTGATCTTCATATAATCAGTATGGAAGTATATATGTATATGAACACGTCTGTAAAAAGTTTTTTGTAATAATATCAAAGAGTATAAAATATATTTTTGAGTTAAATAATAAAATAAAATACTTGGAAATAAAATACTTGGAAATAAAATACTACCTTTAACTTCTCTCACCCATGTTTTTTTTGTGTACCAGCATATAATTGGGTACACATTTAGTCATTTCAAGCTTGTAGTATCTTCTCCAGTTTCTCATCATATTCTTCAGAAAAGAAGGGGGTTTTGCCCTTTGGGAGAATTCAGTACCATTGCATAGTTGTTCCTTATGTTAAACTACTGTATTGCAGTCATCTTTGGAATAATAAGATAGTACTGTAGTTACATTCGTAAGGAGCAGAGAGTTGTTAGGCCATTGGTGGCTTTTGGCTGACTACAGATTCATGAAAGTTAAACCACTAGCATGAAGATTATTTCAGTTCCCCTTTTCACTGAACAACATTCAATATGACTTAAATATTTTATTTAAAAGACTACCTTTATAAGGAGTACTGTGAAATATATTGTTACAAAGATTGAATAAGTCTTGTTGGTTGTCAGTCAAGTGCAACAAGACAGAGAGTTTGCATGTTATTTATTTGAACTAAATCCCTAACAACCCTTGTGTGCTAATTGGACTTAGCATTTAAGTTGCTAAATGAGAAGCGTTTTGGCTGCAGTATAGGGTGGTAAGACCTACCCAGTGGAATAAACAACTAACATCTGTTATCCTGTCCTGCTCCAGCTTGGCTTTTACCATTTAAGTACCTCAGCCCTAGAGTCAAGGCTATGGAATACGTGGTTCTCTGGCTATGGTGCATATATGTGAAAGGGAAGAAATAACATGAGTAAAGACCAGCCAACCAGAAGATATTTAGTGCAGCTGGTCCACTTTGCTTTAACCTCTACAAGCCCTACAAATATCAAAACAAAAGCCAAGAGAGGGGTGTATGTTTTATAGCAGTTGTCAACACAGCAATTCAAGTGAGCTTACAGTGGTCACCATTAAAACAGATTTGATATTTAACCACCTTTAATACACATTGGTGTCTGAGAAACCTTGGTATTTCTTCATGCTCTGTGTGGAAATAATTGAATCCCAGAGAGGCTCTAGGTAAACAGTTTTCAGCACTAACTACTGTTACAGTTTTGTATGATAATTTTTGCCTGTTATGGTAAAAATAACAGTGTGTACAGTCAAAATTTAATTAGCTTACCTTTTGAAAAAATTGCTTGTTTTATATGTTAGTTGACTTCTCTTTCCTACTGGATTTGGTCTTTGCATGAACTAGAGGATTCATCCAACAGCTATGCAGTATAAGTACAGATAATATATACTGTTTAATTTCTCTTGAATTCTGAACCAGAGGTGCATCTCATATGATCAACAAGGAATATTTTTAGGAAGCGATTGTGATTGTTTCTTCTGTTTGTAAAACAGGTGTTGACCTCCAACCTGGCCAAGTGGCAACAGGAGAAGGAAGATTTACAAGGAAAATTGAAGTTGAGAGAACATCTGTCTCAAACTGCTGGCAAGAGTGAAGCCACACCAGCTCCTTCAAAGAACATTGATTTAGAGATGAAACAGCTGCAGTGCAAACTAAAGGTGACAGAACAGATTATCTAGTGCTGAGGATAATTCGTATGAACAGTATTTCATAACTGGGTCAAGCAGATATACTCACATATGCATATCATTTATATATCTTAGCCAACGATTAGCAACTTAGGTGTTGGATAACCTTTGATGTTAAGTAGAAATGTATTCATAAGCAGGAGAATTAAAAATTACAATTAAAACAATTTGTGCAAATTAAATAGGCCAGACAGGGAGGCTTGCTGGGTTTTCACACAATGATTAAATGCATCTTGTTGGAAAGTGCTGTGGAATTATTTCAGTGAGAACTGTGTTGATTCCTTGCTTCCTTTAAGAATGAAGTAAGTGATAGCTCTCTGTGAAAGGGGAACAAAGAATTTGAGCTTATGGGGAAGCTCAGATAATGTAACAGTTTTATGTTGCCTCTATGTAACTACTATTCTTGTCTTCAAGGAGACATCATTACTTTTTCATTTGTATTTTTGTAGATTAGGTGGTAGAAAAATACTAACTTGTTGATTATTTCATTTTTCAGTCTCCAGTGATTCTCTTACATGTGGATGATGTAGATGCTGGACTGTATTGATCTGAGAGCTTTCTCTGCAGGTGGCCTGGCTCGAACATATTAATTCTTCCTCTCTTCTCACTGGAGAAAATATATGTGCAACAGAATGTCTTAAAGTTGTTTTTTTCCATCATTTCATGTTTAATATTTGAGGAAAGAGAATAGTTCAAAATGGTATAGCTTCTTGCTGCTAGAAGAAATGGCATACTAGCAAGCCAGCTGCCAAAGGGTCAACTAGAAGAAAAGGCCGTATTACACGAACAGTATAGCTGGTTATGTCTCTGAGTACTGGATTCGCTGTGTTAGCACACAAGATATGGGTAGTGCTCAGACCTCTTAGCTGCTGATAGTATCATTGTATTACAGATGTCTATAGCACACTGGCGTGTAACATCTAAATTCAGGGATTGGTAAAGGTATGCCATGTAGTTAAAGAGGGCAGCAGGGAGTAGCCATGAAAAGGCACATAATTTGATCTACTTTAATTATGAGAAAGAGATCTTGAAACCATACCCACTGACTTCTTGACTGTTGATTTTAGATTTGGGTTTGGCTAATCTGATTCTGATTCTGATGAGTGGTAATTTATGTTATTTAGGATTGTTCCTTTTAGATCAGTGTCCTCATTATCCAGAAATCTAATAGTCAATTGCTCATTGAAAGTAAGAAAAATTAAAAATGGGGAATTTTTTTTGTAAAATACTATTAAGAATAACACATGATAGAAGCCTGTATATCTCCTACGTGTGAACTGCAAAATACATCGCTGAAAAATCAAAGGTTTTTGTGTGTTCCTGCAGCAAACATTTAGCAAGCATATATAAAACAGATGTCAGAAATATTAACATGACTTCTAATTCCTTCTTAAAGAAGTTTTACATTTTCAATGTAAAACATAAACCATGTATGCAAAACTACCTTTAGAATACACATAGTCTGTGACCCCAAGTCCAGATTAGTAGAGTAAATTCACTGGTTGCTGAATTGGAATGAGAATTTTTGACTACAAGGGCCTTAAAAGCTACTTAAATCAAGTTACTGAAATTCTTAGCCTTCTTTTGACCTAAATTTTTGAAAAATTTAGTCCTGCAAGTCATTTTTAGCAGAAGTAATTTGCAAAAGTTTTCAAGTATTATTCCAGGATAATTAACGTACTTAAAAAGGAGATACAGAGTTATTCTCCTACATGCCTGAATGTGGAAGAACCAAAATCTTTCCTTATAGCTCAAAATCTCAGAGTACCTGATTTTGTTAATTTTTTTTTTCTCAGAGCTATCTTTGCAGTGTTTGTTTATGTTGTATGCAATGACTTATTGCATCTTCACCAGTAGGAAGAAAGGTGTTAAGTGTGGGTGGTGAGTTTGGAAGCAAAAAAACGTAAGTCTTTGCCTCTGAGCATGTGCAGAGGCCCACCTAAGTATTCAAGTTCATATCTGGTGTGTTAACCATGTAACTGGGTGCTGTGCTTCATGCTAATGAAGCTTAAGCTCAACAAACAAGTTTCAGCAATATTCTGCTAGCATACATCATTTTAACAATCTTCTGGTTACACCTCACATTATAATAATAGTAAATAGACTAGACAAGTTATTAAGAACAATATTTTACATCTAACTATGCACACAAGAATATACTCCCCTTGAGGAGCACAGATTTATGTACAATACTCCCATTAATGTTAATAGGTGTTACAAGTCTGCATTGAGCAGAGAAATTCTCCTGAAGTATCTTTGTTTACAGCTTGCCTGATTTGTTTGCTTATTGTTTATACACAATGAGTAAAAAGCTTTAGTACAGCAGCTGAGCCTGCGTGCATATATGCACACATATATGTTGTGTGTATGCTTAATATATATGTATCTTTTGGCAATACGTTTTGGAGTTCTTAAGTCTCCATATGCAGTATGTTTGAACTTCTGTTTTTAGCACTGATATTCAATGCATATGCTCAGATTGGTAAAATGGCTACTTAGTTGAATTTCATATCTTCATTTCTGTAGAGTGATTCAGTTGTTCTGTATTTAATTTGTGGGTAGATTATCTGTGTGTTTGAATGGAGGAATTGGGGCTCTGTTTTTTTTACTTCCTGCTCATACAATGAGAAAAGGCCAACAACTGTATAATTCTTCACTGGAATTCCACATGCCTGAAAGTTAGGATCATACCTTTTTGCTTCCGAAATGTAGGATTTTTGTTAGTATGGCCAAATGGAAATGTTTTTTTCTTGTGCTTTGAGTTTCAAGGGACACAAACCAACTGCTCTTATAGATTGTCTTGTATTTTTGAATGCACAAGATGAAAGGGATTATTGGAAATTGTTACACTGTAGATGTAGGCCTCTTGTGCAATAGAACTATACTGTTCAAAGATGTAATTCAAATGAAGGTCCAATATATTTCTTTTCTGTTACCTTTTCAGCTGACCATGCCATGCAAGAGAAAATGTAGTCTTGATAGGTACACTGGGCTTGCAGGTGTGCTGGGGAACATCTATTACTCATACATTATTAGAGCAATAGAAGAGAACTGATTTTGATCATATTTTCCAAGGAATATACTTTTGCTTAAGTGTAAGAAAATAAAAATGCTCCTTCTGTACCAATTAATTTCTAAGAATGTTCATAAAATATGTGGAAGTTTACACAGCCCGTTGTTTCAAACAAATTTACTGATGACTGTGATAATATTCAGTCTGATTTATTTATATTTTAATATTTCCCAATATAGAATTCAAATAATGAAATCACTAAGCAATTGACTACTATCAAGTCACTAAAAAATGAAGTCCAGGAAAAAGACCAACAGATTCAGGAACTACAAGCAAAGTATGTTCACTCTTCTATCCATTGTGTTTGGTGCCACCCTGTGGCAGCTGTATAATTGTTACAACATTAACCACTCTTAAATAGATTTTTAAGAGAATGCTTTATTACTCTTTTTATTGCAGTCTTGCAGACTATTACAGGAGTTTTTTTACAAACTGGAGCAGTACATGCTAAAATTGCATTTTGTTTAAAATCACGTGTGATTAGCTAGCTACAGTATCTGTATTGCAATAAGAATACCTTAAATCAAAACTCAGACTCTCGAGTAGACTATTTTATCTGTGATGTAAGTCTAAATGAATTCCTCAGCACTGTTAAACATAGTCTTTCAAATACGGTAATTCTTTGCCTACGGGCTCAGAGACATGTCAAGGTTCAGATGTTTAAACAAGATTAAATATCCAGTCTTATATTCATAAAAAGTTCAAAAGGACAGTTGTATTTGTTTCTGTTTGAATTGATTAAGGTTAACTGCTCATTTTGAAATTCACGTGTATTGTTGTGAAGTATGCAACTAAGATTTTTATTCTCCTTGCTTTCACTGATACAATAATGTTCTTCAACTTTATTGCTATCTAAACATAAGCTATTTGTGTATCTGTTAATTTCTTGCCTTCCCAGAGTTTAACTCCTCTAACCATTCTAATTTTTTATTTGTAGAAAGAATGCAGTTTACTTATCTGATATTAATTTCAAAAATAGAGAACTTAAATTTTTTAAATTTTGTATAATGTATATTTTTTGTTTCAAAGTGAAACTGAAATTTTCCACCATAAGACTTCAATCACTGGTTATCATGCTTCCTTTATAAAATAAATACTGCTTTTTAATAAACTGTAATATATAATCACTGAAATAGCATTAATAGTATAAATGTGAAATATATGGAAGAAATTTTAAGATGCACTGTTTTCCGGTGTTTTTTAATATAGTATTGACATTGTATTAACAGTATTTTATTCCTGAACATATTATCATGATTCATTTTGCTTTCATTAAAAAAATAATCCAGCAGTCTGAACATATTCAAGTATTGCTTATGTTTATATTTAAAATATTAATTTGTATCATAATGGTGGAGATATTGTATAAGATGTAATTTTCTCATTGAACAGAGACTGCATTTTTGAGATGTTTCTGAAAAATGCTGTTGTTCTAGGCTTTACAGTTTTTAAGAATTATTATCTTATCTGACATAGGGATAGAGACTTTTCATGTATTTCTGTATATTACTCAGTTGGATGAAAGACTTCCCCCTTTCACTTTATTTTGAAAATATTTTTGTACAAAATATTTTTGGAATGATACCTTCTTGAGACATAAAAGAAGTTTAAGTAATTAAATTTTGTGTGTTCAACAGGTTTTTTGCCTTCTTTTCATAATAGCTTATGAAGAATTCTGATTTTAAATCAGACAAGTTAGAGCATAAGTAACAGCAAAAAGCAAATCACAAGTAAATTGCATCTTTAGAGATAGGTCTGTTTAATTAAGAGACTTGAAACTAGTTTTAATGGTTGGGAATAGGGTATTTTGCAATAATTGCATCAGATTTTATTTTTAAAGGTATTGTAAATCTACAGGAATTGTAGTTTGTCTACTATATTTATACTTTTAAGTTGTTTAAGATAGTTGCGTATTAATAATGTTTTCTAACAGTAATGTGCAGTATGATTTCTTCCCTTCTAGGATTTCTCGATTGGAGAGGGACCTTAATATGAAAAGACATTTGATAGAAGACTTAAGGTCTCGCCTAAAAACAAATCAAGAAAATGAGAAAACCTCCAATGAAACAGTAGAAAGTCTTAAAAGAAAGGTACTTCTTTCTTGCTATTGATAGTTTCAGGAAAAGCAAAAGCTGGTGGATTTTACAGAAGTTATTTCAACACACTATACATACTGAATCAATTTATTGCTTTAAGAAAACAACATACAGTTAATTTAAGGGAGTAATTTCCTCCACTGTAATTTGTATGAAATCAGTATATGGTGATAGCTGGGATGGTTTCAGCATAATTTAATGTATGTTCATAGGAGGTGTAGTATTCAGAACACTGAGCTGCAAGGATATGCTGTAAATAGTGAGATTTAGTTTTATGCACTGTAAGTTCATAAGATACAGTAGACCTGAAACAAGAGTGATTTTACATGACATGCTAATGAAGTCCATGCACCTCCCCTGGCTATAATAGTTAAAAGCTTTAATATGTTAATCTGTTTTCTACTGCAATGTTATGAATGATTCACAATTCTGTAATTCTGTTTGTGTAGGTACAGCTTAATTTCTATAGCAAATTATTTTCTCTTGCAAAATTCAAGGATGATTTCATTGAAGGTAGAGGAACCTGTATATGTTTTGGCATCTTTCTGTATTATTCAACCAATGTATTCCACTTTGGCCTTTAATACCAGAAAAAGATTATGACATCTGGTTGTCTGTGATATTATGCAGCATATGACCTCAAAATAGAAATAAACAATTTATCAATTTGCTTTTGTTTTTCTATAATTCGGGTGCTTGCTGAATATCACAAGCACTATCTCTGCTTGCCATCATACAGCACTTTCAGCTCTATAGCAAGCTAGTGTCTTACCCTTCATGTCAAAGATAAGATGTTATTATGAAACCCGCAGCCACAGAGTGAGACCATAAGTAAACAGGGCAGCTGAAGTACGAAATGAGAGGAATACCTAGTTTTGGTTTTAGATGGAAGATTTAGAATGGAACAATATACTTTAATGCTGTTCTTTGAGTATTTTAAGCACTGCATTTTTCAGATTCCAGAGTATCAAATTCCATACATTGATTATTCCACATGGAAAATCAACTTGATAAATTTTACATTATCTTCAGCAGAAGATCAAAGAAATTCCCTGTTATTCAATATTGTCAGGGAAGCTTTGTGATTAATACTGTCAAGAGAGCTGAATTATTTACTAGGAGCATTGGTCTATTTTATTTTACCCAAAATCAGTGTTTGCATTGTATGGCAAAATGATAATAATTATCTAAGAGGCTTTACAGACTATTAACTTGTAGGCAGTTATCATTTTCACAGCTGAGTTTTAATTAATGTTTTTACCTCAGAAGGAGTAAGTAGAAATTGTGGTTTTCTCCATTTTGCATGCACTAGAACAGTAAATAATATATAAGCGAGCAGGTTCGCAAATGAAGAGCTTTTCTTTACGCTTAATACAAGTCAAAACTTTTAGTAACATGATTCTGTGCAAACTGATCTTTACTGGATCAGCAGAGATTTATTAAAGAATGTAATTTCAGAAAAAGGTACTATAATCAAATTGTTTATATAATAGAGGTATTTGTAGGTAAGCTTAGTTTTGATTTGATTTTCATTCTTAAGTTTTATATTTTAATAGTCGGTTCCTCTTGGCCTTTCATTATTTCAGGTAAAAGCACTGGCTGAAGACAGTTCAAACAAAAAAACTTCCATTGACTCACTGAAACAAAGACTTAATGTAGCTACAAAAGAGAAGTCTCAGTATGAGCAGATGTATCACAAAGCTAAAGATGAGTTGGAGAAAAAGGTATATTAGAGTTGTGATGGCTCTACCGTGGAACTTCTTCATACCTCACTTTCAAATTAATAGTTGCAAGATCATAGCTTAGACTTTGTAAATACAGCAGGGGATAAAAGAGAAGAATAAGAGTAGCGTGCTTCATTTAATTTAGTCACATCAGTGAAATTTAGATGCTGAAACATGGATGTAATGACTGAAAATAAAATTACTTTTTCCCATAAAATTACATTTTATATGTTGTAAGTAGAATGCTCTGTGATGTTAACCATTGTGTGGGAGGTTGGTTTGTTCATTCGTTTGTTTGTGGTCTACCATACCTGCCTATCAGCTTTTATCATACCACTTCGGTTTCTGTGTGGATCTGTTTCAGGATCTCAAGCTTACCAATCTAGAGAGCAAAATGATTGAGACTGAATGTGCTATGACTGAACTTGAGACTACTGCATCCCAACAACTACATGGCTTGGCTAAACAGAGTGGACAGGCTTTGGAAACTGTACAGAGGAGGCTGCTGCTCACCAGTGACAAAGTAGAAGAGTTCATGACATTTGTGAAGGTTTGAGTTTTGATTTTCTTCTCAATGTTTAGCTAAATAGAGGCATTCTTGAGTGAAAGCAAAATGTAAAAGATTAAATGGGGTTAATCTTCGGTGCATTCCCTGTTGCAGAACAATCTTTGAAGATCCCTCACTGGCCTAGTGTTAGCTCTGAGCTGGTCTAAACAGGGAGAAACAATCAATGGCTCTAGGTCTCTCTCCTAGACTTCTGAAGACTTCCACAATTTTTATTGGTCATCCTTTTGTATATGGTTGCCAGTGTAGTTGCTCCCAAGAAAGTGTGCTTAGTTGTATAGCAAATTGCTCTGCAGAAAAAAATTTCCCCACACATTTAAGAAATTACCTGTTGATTAGTGTGCTTTACCTCATTTTCCATATATATGTGCTTTTGTTGCAGAAATATTAAATAAAGAAGCCTCTATATTGCAAAAATGGAAGCTTTAAAAGCAATAGTAGAATTTTATTTTCTTATTTTGGTTAAATACTTAATCTGCTACAATGCATCATACAATAATACTGTGTCTGTGCTTCATACATAAAACATACCACTTCAGTATGAAGTTTTACAGAATGGACTAATGTGTACTTTTTAACTTAATGTTTGAAATATAAATATTATTTGTTTTTCTGAAATACCCACTACCTAACTAAGAATTATAAAGCTTATTCAGTGTATATATGTCTTGAATTTAGCATATATCTATTATATACCTGCTTTCAGACATGGTTATATTTTACTAACCCATGACACAGATCCACTTCTCTACTGTTCTTGTATTTCTGTAGAGATGAGCTGCTTTCAGATATGTTTGAGCAAGTCTGATAGCATCTGAAGTAAAGAGCAGTGGTATTTTGATGCACTATAAAAAGAAAGCATATATAGTTATATGTTCATAAATATCTTTCCACTGTGGATTGAAATTTAATAACTTAAATACTTGTGCATTTTACCTTATTTCTGTCATCATCAGGTAACAAGTCACTCTACATGGCAGTTTTCAGACCTCTGGTGTTGGCCTGAATCCATCCCATATTCATTCAGTTCAGTTGCAAAATTCACATCAGCTTCATTATGAAAAAAGACTGAACGATGTTGAATGCACTTTAAAATCCTAAATTCAAAGAATTTCTAAGCTAAAATATCTATGGTGAAAATTATGATGGACCTCCATGAAAAAATAGTGCCTGTTATTTAAAAAATGAGTTATTGTATTTTTTAAGTTTGTGATTAAAATGAAGGCTATCCTCTGTTTGCCTTGTTTCGTAACCCTTGGGAAAGTGGTATAAAACTGATCACTGTGTCACATGATTCAGAAGTTTCTTGCCTATTGTTGAACAAACTTATTTTTCATGGGGGAAAAATGTGCTTTCTTTTAATACAGAATGCTTGCCCTAAGAGGAAGAAATAAGTGTTCTTTCCATAGCTGCATGCTTATGTTTGCATGCCTAAGTATAGGAAAGTCTGAATTAATCTAATGTATTTGGTTTTTTTAAATGAAATAGTCCTATGTCATTGATGACAGAATTATGCAATTCAGTCTCCGTTCAGGCTGCTATGAATTTTTACATAACTTCATTGAATAAACTGCAGCAGCAGTCATAGACAAAGGAGATAAACAAGTGTTTGTACTATCAATACTTTACATACTTCCATAATGAAAAATTTGATAAAAATTAGAAAATTAGAAAGTAAAAGATCTTCTGTTCTCAAAAGTAGCTGTAATGAGGAAAATCACCTATTAGCAACTATTATGATACTTCATTCATTTTTGAATGACTGTTTTCACTGTTATTTACCATGAATATTTATTTATGACCATGAATTATGACCATGAATACCATTATTTACATGGTCATACTGTATGTGAAAATAATGTTAATATATTTTCTATAAATAATTATAATTATTAATGTTAATATATTTTTGTTAATATATTATATTATGTTATTATATTAACATTACTATATAAATGTTAATATATTTTTCTATAAACAATTATAAGAATTAACTAATAAAGCTAAATATGTAGTTTCTCCCCTGGATAAAAGAATATGCATGCACATTTCAAGTAACATTTTTGCTGACTACTGTTTCTCTGCAGAAAGGTTTTTTTGAATATAAAGATGCTGCCTATAAGTCAAATATTGATGTACAGGGAGTTCCTCAGTAGACTGCTTTGTTTAGTTAGGTACTAAATATTTACGGAAAAAAAGTTCTCTGAAATCAAATTTTATTCACAGTATACCCTTGTTAAAAATATAGTTGAAGAGTCCTTGGTATTTCAGTGGAATTTTGTAGTATATCAGGTAAATCCTGTTAAAATACCTTTTATGTATCTGATGCTATAACCTGCATCGGAAGATCGAGGTGGCACAGTAAGTGGCAGTACTCCTTCCTGCACCAGCTCTTCCTTTGAAGTCTGGTCTATCTCGTTTCTACTCTCTCCTTCCATGTAGCTGTCAGATTTGCCCTGACTTTCATTCTCACTCAAGTTTCCGTAACTCAAAGAAGCTTTTCTGTATAGAGATCAAGTTTAAACTGTCTCATGCTCAACCTGTTTAACATATTTGTAGGACCCTCTTATTTTTGTCTGCTACTCTGATCACTACACAAGCCTTACTTACTTTTCTGAGTACAAGTGTAATCTCCTCATTAATCAAATGCAGTTACTTTTTCTAGCCATTCCCTGTATCTCATGACATTATATAGGGGTTTTTTAACATAACAATTCAATAATTTCAGCATTGCTAATTAATAGCTACAGCTAATAATTGGACAACAGAGGAGCTTCAGAGAAGAGAGTGTGGCTCTTTCTGTTTAAAGCAGACACTGTTGCTTGCCTTTAGAGTTATTGATAACTCAGAACCATGGGATCTTTAATCCATTTAGATTAATATACTAAGTGATGAAACCTGGGAGAGAAGTTTCTGGTACATCTGATATACATCACTGGATCAAATCTGAGGATATGATGAGTTACTAGTTAAGCACATACATGTACAATAAACCATTGCATTGCTATGTGGAGCCCAGTTTGGGACACTGATGCAACTAATGAAAATTGATAGATTGTTAAATCCAGTAATAGTTTCTAAAAATGATGGAAGAAATAATCACAAACATAAGTTGCACTTATCCAATATGTTGTGAGTCATTATTGGACTTGCTTTTGTTGAAGTGTGGTAGACGGATTGGGTGATATGTCCTAAATTACATTCAGTGGGAACCAACAGGGTGCCTAAAAAAGGTTGATTCAGAGCAACTCATTTCTCCAAAGCTGTTATGAGGAAGATATAGACTAATAGAAAATATGAATAGAAATTGTGCACTGTAACCAAAAAACCACAGTTCCATAATTAGAGGTTAGCTCCTTGTAAATACCAATTTCCATTTGATAGGAAAGAGAGCACAATATTTAGAAATAAAAAGGCAATATAAAGCAAGTAGGAAGTGGATTATAGATAATAACCTGAAAATATGAGCAGTGATAGAGTATAAAGGATGGAGAAAAGGCTAAAGAAGTCAAGAGGAAATCTGTGAGTAGCAAGGCCAAGAACAGTACTAATGGGGCAGGATTTAAAAATGTACAAGTAATGAGATAACTATTCCAGGGTGAATATGACCCATTATTAGATAAAACAACTCTGTAGATGTGTAGAGATAGAAGTCTTGTATGAGTATTTCTGGTTTATATCTGAAAGGAAGTAGGCTGATGTTGTATGAAGGTGATGAAACATCCCCAGTCTATTAGTAGCCAGTGGAGAATTTTAAATAATTCCTAGAAGGTTGTAATATTTTTAAATTGAGCACTTTTATAGCTTACAACTTTATAGGACTGGTTAAGGAATTTTTCTCGTGCCGATCCTCATTTTGAGTAAGTATTCAGAGTAAGTGTATATATACTGTAACACTGCCATGAGTCTAAAAGAATGAGAATATTGAGTCTATTCAGAAAAGGCAGTCAGGATAGGTATTTTTTGGTCAGTTAGTCTGACCTAATTTCTGGCTAAAATAATGAAAAACTTATATGAAATTCAATTATTAAAGTATTAAAGCATAGGAATATAGTTATATTTCTTATATGGCTTTATGGAAAATAAGTTGAATAAATCTGATTTCTTTTCTGGAAGGCGGTACAAGTCAGTTGGTAAAGGTTACTATTCATTTTCATATACTGTATTTTAAGATGTCCGACCTATCACTGAGACATCTACTAAAAAAATGTAGACTGTGCAATATCAATAATATGTTAAATGGATTAAAAGTGGCCTGTGTGGTTGATCTGAAAAGTAATTCATGAGATTTAGGTGTGTCTAGAGTTCTGTAAAGATCACAGCTAAACTTGATTATTAAACATTTTCACAGAATTAGATATGAAATCCTGTTACAATTTGTCAATAGTATTTATGAAGACTGATAAATAATAAAAGCAAGGGTGTAAGCATAATGTATGTTAGACCAAATAAAACATTTTTATTACAGAACACCACAAACTACCTGTAAGAGGGACCAGGTGGCTCTAAGAGTATTTTAGATTCCTTTTATACATCTACAGGTTTTCATCCCATCCAGCTTCCATCAGAACCGTGAATTCTCTTTGCAACATGCATCCAATTTCTACAGTGTACCATTGTTCAGTATTTTCTGTAATGTATTGCACTGTCAGATCCTCGGGTGGATCTAGCCAGTTACATGCCACAGAGCAACTAGAGCAAAATGTTCTTTGTTGTGTTTTTAGTACCTGTGACAACACATGCAGAAAATGGCTATTGGATAATGTTAAAAATCTGCTATTAGATTACTTGCCTGGATGTCTATCAAAAATAGGGTACAGCATACTAGTTGGCTATGAAATTGTCAAATATCCTGCCTAATTCTGCAGAAATTCTGTTTTCCTGCATTACTGTACTTTTTACTTTTTTTTTTTCTCACCTAGACTTTGACCACATATTGCTATTATGGACCCTTGTAATCTCAAGACTCAGTAGTGTACTCTGTC